TATATGAGTGTTATGCCTGCATGTAAGTAAGTGCACCCGTGTCGTGCAATGGCCGTGGAGACAGAAGAGGCTCTCTGGAATTGGAGTTATGGATAGTTGTTAGCTGCCATGTGGGTTCTGGGATTCAAACCCAGGTCTTCTGCAAGAACAACCAGTGTTCTTAACCGCTGAGCCATCTATCCAGCCCCCCAGATGCTTTATTCTTAAGATTTCACAAATCTTCCTTTTGAGTGTATGTAAAGAAGTTATATTACGCTATCCAGAGGTTTTAATGACAAAATGGCATAAACTAAAAAGACCCATTCTGGGCAGGGCATAGGGTACACACCTTTAAGTCCAGTACTCAGGAGGTAGAGATAGAGGCAGGTGGATCTGTCAGTTCCAGGCCATCCTGTTCTATATACCTAGTTCTAGGCCAGTCAGGGCTACATGATGAGACCCTGTCTCAAAAAACAAGTAAAACTAAAAAACAAAAACTCCAAGGAGCAAACAAAACACAAAGACATATCATTACTTAGGGTATCCCTTAATCCAGGAGCCAGGAATTATTTTCTTTGCCACAGAGAAATTACCGCCTCAATGAAGTTGATCTACCTTTAGAGCTCCTACTAGGATCGATACCTAAACATGTTGAACACTGGGACTATCCATACTGGTAAATAAAACAGCAACTTTTTCTGCTGGTCAGCTAACTAATTATGAATATACTTATTTAATGAAAAAAGAATCTTATAATTGTGTTTTTGTAGCTTAGTAAATGCCCATGCCTTCAACTAAGCTTTTGGGCATTGTAGTCCAAATAATATTTTTTGTTGATGATTTCTACCTTAAAAGCCTGAATATACAACAGTCTATTAGAGAATGCAGTTTTATACTAGAAACCAAACTGACTTAAATGGCCAAACCTATGACCCTTAATAAAGCATGTCAAATTGTTAAAACTGGAAGGGCTGAAGCATCACAGTGCTTTTTGAGTAAGAATTTCTGGATGCTTTAATGCCACTCAAGAAATTGTTCAGTGGTTAAGAGCACTGGTTGCTCTTGCAGAGGACCCAGGTTCAATTTCCAGCATCCACATGGTGGCTAACAACCGTCAATAACTAGTTCCAGGGGAATCTGATGGCCTCTTTTGACTGTAAAGATAAGGAAACGCACCATATGAACAGTGATCGAAAATGTTTCTAAAATAACTTTAGATCTAGAGTTACTTTTCATACATTTTTCAACTGTATTTAAGAAACCACCCACTAAAATGCAATAGTGATCAATTCAGAATAATACCTTCCTTTATTTTTTATTTTATTTTATGTGTATGAATGTACTATCTGCATGTATGTGAGTGTACCTGTGTTGTGCAATGCCCGCAGGAGTCAGAATAGGGCTTCGGATTCCCCTGGAACTGGAGTTAAGGACAGTTCTTAGCTGCCATGTGGGTGCTGGGAATCAAACCTGGTCCTCTGTAAGAGCAGTCAGTGCTCTTAACTGCTAAGCCATCTCTCCAGCCCCTAATACTTTCTTTTAAGTACATAAAAAATAAAGTGCAGCAAGGCTTTAACACCTGACAAGATCCTAGAAAAAGCTTCTAACTTTGATTTTACAATTTGGGTAAAAGGTAGAAAAATGAAACTTACACTCATCTCGGAACCTGGGTTCTGCATTAGGCCCAACTCTGCCAAATGTTTTTATGACTTCTGTATGCAAAGAATGCTGGTCTTGATACTGAGGGTCTTCCAGGAAAGATGCCAACTGCATTTTCACTCTTTCTAGCAACTTAAATGAGATATTATATTACTATTTCATAGAATATTAAAATATGAGTAGTGTAGTTAAAGTGAACAATGAACAGTAAACGTGTCTTTCAGCAGTAAATTCCCTTTAGAACAGTATGATGAAAGAAATTTGGTGTTAATGAAATACTTATGAAGTCTTGTCAGAAAAGATTTCACACTTCTGTTTATACTCATCAATTCTTAATTTCTTTTAAAAATACAAATAGACCCTAATAAAATTTAAAAAGAAATGGTAAAAATTCGAACTATTTAAGGAAAAGTTGGCAAGTTTCTGATTTGGTATCTAAGTTATAATTCTCAAATAGTGTAAGTTACCCAATTATTCACCTCCTGAAAGCAATGAGTCATAAATGACTTACATTTTACTCACATTTCCCTAAAAGACATTTTTATTTTAGGATTTAAGAACGTGTTGAAATTCTGCCAAGATTGCAAGCACTGCAGAATGATGTGCTTCTTTTCCTGTTGCTTCATCAGTAAAAAGTGCAAGGAGAAAAAAATAAAAAGGAAAATAACTAACAAAATTAATTTTTATTATAAAAATCCCTATGACAAAGGAATTTTATTGAATTTCTTATGTTGAGGGGTGCTATGTCCTCAAATAATTTATTTTCTAATCTGTAGGCTACTTTCATTTGTATTAAGGGGGTGTTCGGTATAAATAAATAGACAAAAAAGAATAAAATCCAGATACTAGTCTTGAGAAGTGCCTTACATTTAATGTTGCAGCTAGGAATAGAATGTAAAAACTTGAAATCAAATTAGTGTCAGAATCAAAATACCTTCCCCTTTAGGGAGGAAGACCTTGCTAATCAGCCAAACAAAGCAGACAAGTCAGGATTTACATAGTGATATGTGCCATAACAAGATGTGCATAACCATCTATAGGATGATTTTATAGTTTAGCATCAATGATACAGTTACCAGAACACAAGTGCCCTCTTATTTCATTTGTAAAACTGAGACAGATTCATAATTCTCAAGTTTTGTGGCAAAATAGTCTTCAAATCTATGCAAATTGGCAATCAAAAATTTATGTATCCTGGGCATGGTGGCACATGCCTTTAATTTCAGGACTCAGGAAGCAGAGGCTGGTGGATCTCTGTGAGTTCAAGACCAGCCTGGTTTACATAGTGAGTTCCAGGATAGCCATGACTACACAGTGAGATCCTGTCTCAAAAATGTGGCCGGGTGTGGTGTCGCGTGCCTTTAATCCCAGCACTCAGGAGGCAGAGGCAGGTGGATCTCTGTGAGTTCAAGGCCAGCTGGTCTACATAGTGAGTTCTAGGACAGTTGGGGCTACAGGGAGACCCTGTCTCAAAAAGACCAAAAAAAAAAAAAAAAAAAAAAGAATTTATGCAGATAGGCCTCTTGAATAATAAAAGGCTTTAGAACTAGACTTGATTTGAAAGATTATTCCAAACTGTAATATCCAGGTAGGCTTAATATAAAACATAAAGGCTGGCTTACACTTAGCTTTTTAGTAGAGAAGACTAAACATGTGGAAACAGAATAATTTCTTAGAATAAAGAAATACACTTACTGGATTAAGCTATGATGCTTTTACATACTGAGTGCTTCCTCTGGTCTACAATTAATTAAGAAATAACATAAAAGTTACAATGATCCCTGACCCTACCATGAGGTATGTCATCAGAAATTTGTCAGCAGCACATAGACATAAACAAATGTCAACTGTTTCCTACCTCTCTTTGAATAACTGTTTCCATAATGGTGCCAAAAGCTGGAATTGTGGCAATCCTGACAGAGCTGTTAAAAATTAAAAAAAAAAAAAAGAAAACTGAAACTTTCTCTGAGATAACACATGAGAATTATCAAAATGTATATCAAAGCAAGTACAAGATACAAATACCATGTTAGTCTCTAGTAATGACAAATTAAACCTTTTAAAAAGCAGACCAAGAAGAATGCTCAAAAAGACAGGCAGGATAACTTAAGGTCGCAGTCTGTGAAACTCACAATTCAGGATCACTGGACAAGGTAACAAGGGCCGGAGCAACCCGCTTGTCAACTAATGCTTCACTCATGCCTCGAAGAGTCAGCTGTAAACCAGTCAACATGCAATAAAAAATGGTTTGGTAAACTGGAATGAGAACTGGGTTAGCTGTGACTGAGGATGGGCAGGCAGACTCACTGGCCTTTCTTGCTTTAGTCATCCACATGAGACATTAAAATGTTAAGCCTTTGATTCATGCCACTACACTTACTGGTAACAACTTGTTAGTGAGATTAGCAGAGCATCCTTTCTTGGCTTGGAAGAAATAGTCCATCAGCATGTTTTGGTTTTGAAAGTGCTTACTGATTACTAACGTTCCTCATACTGTTTTTTTTTCTATTTTATGGCCTCCAAATTAGGTTTACTGTGAAGGCTAACTTAAAAAAACAAACAAATCCAGGAGTATATCAAAAGCAAGTTTAAAATCAAATAAGCATATAATCCAATATTATTATTTTGAAGTGCTTCTTCAATGAATTTTAAAGTGTGATGGTTATTTCTCAACAGGCACATTTTGAAAGGAATGCTGAACATAAAAGGCTGGGACAACACTTACATTTCAGGGTCACTGGAGAGAGTAATGAGAGCAGGAACAACCCTCTGAGCTACCAGAGTTTCATTCACCCCCTTCACCAACAGCTGATTGGTCAGCACAGGGGGTATTCACAGGTGATGCATGGAAAGCAAACAGTGTACCACGGGAAGAAGAAAGGATCAACCAAGAGAAGAGAGAAACACAAAAGCAAAACCAAAATTAGAAGCTAAGCAAATATTGCTACTAGAGTGCTTACAAAGGCAGAGAATGCTTAGGAAGAAAATAAAGCTTCAAAAGCTTAGCAGTCCACAAAAAGATTCTGTCACCAATTTGATGGCAGTTTGTCCTTTTGGTCAAAGACTCCATGCAATTTCCAACTTCAATTAAAATGTAAAGTATAATTTTATTTACTTAAAAGAATCTCAAATAAGGATATATCTTGAATATTATGGTTACCATTCTTAAAGCCAACTGGGTATGATTTTATTATGACCAACAAGGTACAAACTGGATTGTTTTTAAACCAAACTGAAGTGGTTTGCAGTCATCACTAAACTGCTTCTGACTATCTACAGCAAGTATATTTAAAAACCATATAGTAAAATCCCCGACCTTTTAAGTCACACAGCTTTATCATTTAATTTAGAGACATTGTTAGACATGTGAGTCAGCTCTGGGTTCAAATTCCAATTCTCCTACACTAGCAGACCTGGAGTCTTATATTACAAAATCCCTTGAAACTAGTTTTCTCATCTGAAAATGCTGAGGTTCTAGCCTAAATCAAAGGACCATTGTGCTACTGATTTGCAAGCAATAAGTACTGCACATGATAAAGGAGTATTCATTCAAGAAACGAATTGAATTATTCTGACTATTTGAGAATATATGATTTGGAATTTTTATAAAAAGAAATAATTACATTTTTTGGTTTGTTCATCTCTAAACAGTTATCTTGTATTTTTCTAAAAGCTTAAATAAATATGAATAGAATTAATCTGTCTCTGTAACACTCATTAAAATAATTCATTTAGTAACCAAGGCAAATTTACAAAACAAGAGGATATTGAAGAGTATATTTTGTTTTTATAAAGATTACTGAGGATAATTTTCTCCCTCAAATTTAGAATGTAAGCAGAAATTAATCCTAAATGCTAATCAATCTGTTCACTTAACAGCCCTCATACAAGATCAACACACATGGAATTTTGTATCATTTAAAATCATTACTGTTTACATGCTGGCACTCCTCTTACATAATATGAGAGAAGGCATAGCTGACATTACATGATGATACTTAATTTTGCAGTGATCTGTTACCATTTATCAACTGACTCACTTTATGATCTTCAGTATCTGAAATAATTTATTAAAAACCAAATAACTAGGTAGAAAATAATGACAATCTTGTTATTATATTAATGCTACAGAGTTCAGGAAGGAAAAATAATACAAAGAAGTTCAAATTCTGTCAAGTAAAACTTTCTTTTTGGTACTGTAAGGTAGCTTCAGTTTGAATCATTAAGACATATTCTGAAACGTCTGCTATCTCATGTCTACTGAAAGTATTTAAAGAAAGTAATTTAGAGGACAATTTCTTATTGTTTTGGAATTTTTAAGATCATTTTTTTTAAATTAAACCAGAAAATTAGCAAGCAAATTTAAGAACTTTTATTACATATTTTATACACTGTATCTTTTGGCCTGGCAAAACAAGTATTATCAGTATTTTAGTAGATGAAGAAATTGAGGCTTATAGAAATGAAGTTCATTTGTTTAGGGTTTTAGAGCTAATAAATAGTAGAGTCCGAAAATGGACTCATAATCTTGCCTGGCTCAATTGATGCTCATGCCTTCTTTGCATTATGGTGTAATGATATAGTTCAATTACCTCATGACTGATATGAGAAATGGTTATGTGATGTAAAAATTCTTTACTGTGAGCTGTGATTCTAGAAAGTCACTAACATGGAAGTCATTAAATTGCCCCCATAAAATAATTTCATTAATTTTCTATTTCAAAGGATAAGACATGGATTCTTGTTTAACAATGAGAACAATATAAACTTCATTATGCTGCCCTGATGTGTCCTGCTATCTAAAAATGAAGCGAAATTTGTGTTAAGTTTCAGTATGTACTTCACATTAGGTTCTGGGTATATCTATTTCTCACTTCTCAAGAGTTTTAAATATCACTTTTATTATTTTCTTTTATTTTATTCTGTACATTTTTAGAAATAGGTGCTCATCTAGCTCAGGCTGACTTTGAACTCACGAAGAGGATGACCTTGAACTTCTGGTCTTCCTGTTTAAGTTCTGTGACTACAGGCATGTGTTACCACAGACACCCAGTTTTATGTGGTACTGGAATCAAACCCAGAACCCTGTGTATGCTAGGCAAGCACTCTACTGAGTAAAAACTCCAGCCCCTAATACCACATTTCTAAAATAAAAGGCAATTTTAGTGGTGCTTTTTTTTTGTCTTTTTGAAGCAGGGTCTCCCTGTAGCCCCCGAGCTGGCCTGGAACTTGCTCTGTAGACAAGGCTGGCCTTGAACTCACAGAGATCCACCTGCCTCTGCCTCCCGAGTGCTGGGATTAAAGGCATGCGCCACCATGCCCGGCTTTGTCCTGTTTTTCTAGGTTTTTATTTTTGATGCACTCACATTTTGAGGGAAGCAGGCATAATTCTAAATTACATAGCATTAATATCAAAAGAAATCTTCTAAACATATATAATTTTTAGCCTCATTTTCCCCAAAATGAGGATCACTGACCAAAAGGAACTTTCTCTTACTGACAACTTTTAATATATCCTAAATACTAATCAAGGTATCCACCTAGTAGCCCTCAAATTCATAATGGATTTGGAAAAAATACTTCAGATTCAGAAGCTCATAATCAACCTGAAAATTGCATAGGCATAGGTATAGTTTTCAGACAAGCAATGACAGTAAGCATCGTAACCAAAAGTGACATACAGAAAACTAGACAAAAAATAAAAGCCACAGGAATAAAGGGTAAGGGTGTGTGTGTGTGTGTGTGTGTGTGTGTGTGTACATTGTATTTATCTAAATTATTTTCGTTCATATGGTATGCTTCTTCAGAACATACATATATTTAGAAAATAAGCATTCAAGAGAAAGAAATAGTTTCTAGGTCTCAGGGTAAAATTCCATAGAGTGTATTAAGGAAGGTTCTTCACTTTCAGGACACGTTTTTCTTTGAGGGGGGAGAGAGGAATGAAGAAAGACTTTTTTTTTTTTTTGTGGTAATGTCCTCTTTCTAACACAATTAATAATCAAATTTACTTTGGTGTTGACCTCAACAAAGAGCTCTTGATTATAGATCTTTAAAAAGAAATGCTATGGACATGATTTTCAATTTCCTGAGTACTGATGGAATTTATTTAGATTTAATCAATCTAATTTATGTATTTATTGAAAAATTAGAGAAAGCAAATATTTTAAATATATCACTATTTATCTGTCTAACTGCAATTTATCTTAAACTGTAAGAAATTCTAAAAGATTGGAATTAACTCTTCTTATGGAAATAAATGCTTTAAAACATTTTACGAATCATATGCAAAAAGGGACAGTTTTATTTTAGATAAATATACATTCCCTGTACTATTATATTATTTGTGAACTAATCACCCAAATTAGAAAAAAGTGATATGATACTTAACATTTATTACCGCTTTTATATTCCAGACGCCATTTTAAGTGTTTTACAAGCACTAACTCACTGAAATATTAAGAAAAACCCTTGGATACTTTTTACCATCATTTTCACATTGTAGATGAGAAAACTAATGTAGGGAGAAGTTCAAATCTGTCCAAGTAATTAACAAAGTCACTAGGTAGAAAAGATGGAAACTGAACCCAGGTAGCCTGGCCCTACGGTAAGAATCAGCAGCACCAAGAAACACAAACCAACTGAGTATTCCAAGTTCTAAAAACAAGTATATATCCAAATATACTAACTAGTCTAGAACATAATTTGCTACCTGATGGATACAAATGATATTATACTACTTAGGTAGCAAGTTAAAATTGAGGTATACTATATGAATAACTGCCTGTGTTATAAGCTATGGGGAGTAAATGAATAGGTGTGTTATTCCAGATATGATACATGAGAGAATACAATAATTACAAATATTTGTATTGGAATACTACTAATGAATACAACAACTTAAACAATGTGCTATATTGCTTTAACTTGAGTAGTTATTTTCCTCAGTACATAGAAAAGGACAATTAGGAAGATTTAATAGAATGGAAATTAAAGTTAAAAAGAGAGAAATGGAACTGAAAATAACATGTAAGGAACCAATAAAGCTAGAAAATATTCCTAAATATGTCAAAGCTAAAGTTCTGCCCCATCACACAGTACACAACTGCAGAGTGTTCAATGTCACAAAACACATATATGCATATACATAATATTTAAAACTAAAAAACAAAACAAAACACTTTCCCTTTTCCAAAGACAATCATAACTGGAACCAACAGACAAATGCTGACATACCTCAAACATTCTAGCAGCAGTACATCTGACAAGCGCTGAAGTGTGGACAACGCCATACCACAAAACAGTAAGCAATAGCTCATGATAGGCTGGATTTGCACTGCAATAAAATAACAATGTTAAAATTGAGGCCATGTGTCTAACTGGTATATTGAAAACACTATACATATGAATATATACATTTATGACATGTATACATGGCATATTAATGATAAATCATACTGTTAGCATCTATGAAAGAAAAGTTATCTTTTTAATAGCATAAAACCCAAAATTATATATAAAAATAAAATTGATCTATGAAGCTGGGCATAGTGTGCATGCCTATAACTCTAGAACATAAGAGGTAAAGGGTGAAGGATTGCAAATTCCAGGCCAGTCTGCACAACACAGTGAGACTATCTTAAAAAAAAAGAAAGATAATTCTTTATGAGAAAGTATGCAATTACCCTGCAGTAAGAATTAAATGAGGAAGTTATAACCTCTGCATGTTTTACTTTCTACATCTATAAACACTGGATGAGTAGTACATAGCCTGTTTTGTCATGGTTGTAGTATTAAGGAAGATCAACTCAAGGTATCTATATGGAAGACTCTGTTGGTTGTGAAATTTATCTTAATATAAGACAGTATTATTAACAAATGCATGAACTAGCTGAGCATGTTTTCAGCCAAGACCGAGAAAGAAGCTGGTCTTGGTGGTCTAGGTCTATAATCTGTTTCTTGGGAGATTATCAGGAGGAGCCCTACTTCAAGGGCTGCCTGGGCTACAAAGTGAACTTAAGGCCAACTGGCCAGCTGAGGCAAGTAAGTGAGATCCTATCTTAAAAAAAAAAAAAAAACCCCAAAAAAACACAAAAAAATGGCTAGAATTATAGTTCAGTGGGAGAGCATTTGCCTAGCATGTGCAAGGACTAAGGTTCAATCCCTAATACCACAAAAGAAAGACTGAGAGAGAAGTATTTGGCAACCATGAAATGTGAATAGGAGCAAGATAAGCAAGCCAATAGGAATTGAAGGAGTCCAAAATATTGGCTTTCAACAGAGGCTCCTTTTCCATTTCTAGGAAACCATTTTTAAAAATACTTGAGTGAATTTTTCCTACAGCTTCAAAGAAAAAACTAGTCGGCACTTTTATCTCATTTAAAAATTACAATGCAATGATTACAAAATATTAAGAATGTCCAAACAAGCAAAACCAGAACCAGAGGAAAAATTAAAAAAATCCTCTTTAAGCCAATCTTTGTATAATTAGGCTTAAAATATACATTCATGCTATGAATCTATCTGGAAAACTATACACGCTTTAAAAAAAATTCAATGCTTTTTTTTACTACTTTTCTTCTCTAGCTGTTGAAACCCTTTTCCTCCCCTCTTTCTGGAACTCTTTGTCCTGCTTCAGTCTGGGTGGCTGCTCTTTCATCTGCTTTAAAACTCTTAAAGTGGGACTTCCCATTGCCATCATCCTGGGCCTTCCCTCTTTGGTTCTTATTTCCTGAATCTTATATCTTTTTCTTTGATATGCTTTAAAACAAAACAAAACAAAACTATAAGCTATAATGTGTTACCCAAGTTCCACAAAAGAAGCCTTCAGGCTATCCAGAGGAGCATGAGATAATGAAAGAAGAGTCATTACATCTTCTAAGAACCCAACTAACAGTTTTCGGTCTTCTTCCTAAAAGGGAGAATGTTGATAATGAATCTCCAAGCAGCTGAGTAGAACTAAAGGCCATAATTACCTATTTTTAAATAGAAAATGTTACTACATAAGGGAACATATCCTAATTAGAAAACTATTTCATTTGAAGATATTTATTAAACATATCTATGGTCATCAGTGGTATGAAGACAGACTATATTACTGATTGACTTGGACCTCTGCTGTTCAAAAGATAGCCACTAGCCACATGATTATTTGTATTTCAGTTAATGAAAAATTAAGTAAAACAGAAAATTCAGTTCCTTAGTAGCTACAATTCAAATGCCTAATAGCCACATATAGCAGTATCCACATTATTGAAGAACTCAATATAGATTATTCTATTACTGTAAAAAATTTTATTGGTTAGTCCTGATTTAAGGTACATTTTATTTACATTACTATTTTAGTTGCCATGAAATTTCCTATATACAGTTAAATACAGACTACGAAAACTGTTACCTTTCTAAGAGTAGAAAATTGATTTCCAAGAAACTATAATATCCTGGCGGTAAAAAAAAAA